GATGTGAAAAGCACCATTTAAAAAGATTCATTATTATTAATCATCTCTCGGAACAGAACTAGCTGCCACAGAGTCAGCTGGGTGACTCATGAATATCTTTGTTTATGACAAAAGCCTACAATAATTCTTGAAAGACTGTTCCATGTAATAGAAAGGACATTTTGTTGCAGGGAAGGCTCAACCGGAATCTGATAACGTTGAAGATGAGGTAGATCTTAGCAGCAGTTGTTGTCCAGGGCCCACTGGTACCAGGTGCAACACATTGTAGAGATGCTAGTGGGCAGGGGTAGTGCTTAAGCAAGAGCAGAAATCTAGCGCAAGCATTTTTAACCTGGGATCCTTGTACTTGGGTCTGGTTAAAAATAAATAAATAAACAACAAATAAAAAATTGACAACTACATTTTCTTTGAAACCTTTTTTATGTATTTAAAAACATTATTCTGAGAAGAGATCCATCACCAGGGGTCCAAGACACCTGTAAAGGTAAAAATTCTTGCTCTAGAGGAAATAGTATTAGGTTTGGAGATAGAGTCTTATCTATGACATTTGCTGCTTTGTGACCTTGGGTAAGTCTCTTTCTCTCTCTGAGTCTGTCTCCACTTCTATAAAATAAAGGGACTAGATCAATAATTCTCAAACTTTTTGGTCTTTAAACTCTTAAAAATCATTGAGAATTCTCCCCAAAGAGCTTTTATTTATATGGATTCTATTTATTGGTATTTACTGTATTTGAAAACCTCTAAGACTATTCTTGACCTGCTAGATGAGATTATGGCTAAGGTCTCTTCCATCTTTAAATCTATGATCATAGAACAGCTTGCAGCTAAGGAAGCTGTGGTCTCAACTGTGGAGTATCACATTAAAAATAGGATAGGTATAACTGAAGAGTCCATATCCTGACTTCTACTGTGATTTCCTTCTTGGAGGTTTCAGCTTAGATCCTGCTTTCTCCCTCTGGATACTCTTTCTTGGGCTTCCACTTGGTTGCCCCAATTTTGAATCACCTTGTCACTGGTTTCTGACTCATGCTCTTCAAATTCTCCCTTGTGGGATTCAGGCTTACTACCTCTTCTCACCCTTGAATCTACTTCACATTGGGAGTTGTTATAATACAGTTCCTTGGAAGATCCTGCTTTTGTCTGAATTAGTCCATGGTGAGTCATCTCAGCTTTGTCTCAACTAGACTGTCATATTTGTGCCTAGGTACTTGGCAGTTGAATTCCTTCTTGCCCTAAACCACCAGCCAGCCCCTTAATAGCATAGTTTCTAGCATCCCTGAAGGAATCTGTGGCAGAGCTCTTACCTGCTATATCCCTGGGCTCTAATACCAAGTAGTGTCTATATTGGTTAGCTAATTGGTTAGGACACAAAGAAGGTCAAGCTCATGCCATCAGTTCCTGGCCAGGCCAGTTGGCTTCACATTATTCCTTGACCATGAACTGTATCCTTAGCACTAGCAAGCTCTCTTGTAAATGTGTGTCACTGTCCCCAAAGAGTGAATGAATATGGACGGATTAGCACAAAATCCATTCCTTGGGGGAAAAAAAACCAAGTCAGCATATTTGTCTACAGCATCATCTTTGTAGACAAAGGATAACATATATTGGTTACGCATTATGTATATTTGCAGAAGATTCTCCAGAATTCCATTTTTGCTCACCTGAAGTGGGTGTCATAAATAAATACTTAACTTAGTGCCTGAAAGCAGTTTCTTCAATTATGCCCTACTAACTTACATCTAAAATAAACCATTCTGTTCTTTCATGCGGAGGGTTCCAGATCAAATCATTAACCCAACTTGATTTGTATTAAAGTGTTCCCCAGGTGAAAAATATTAAGTCAACAGCATTGAACCCAAATGTGGATCACACCTTCAGGGCTGAGCTTCTCAACAATCCAGGTCAGTCAAGTGATGTTCCAGAGCTTCCCTCACTGATAACTGCCAAAGGCTGGTGAGTCTGTCTATATGCCCTGCCACACAAATGATTTCTAATTGGAAGAGTAATAGCTAGCATAATAATAGCTAGCATTTATATAGGGCTTTAAAGTTTGCAAAAACACTTTACATCTGTTACCTCATTTGATCCTCACAACAACCCAGGGAGGTAGTGGTATTGTTATTATTACCAATTTAATGAGGAAACTGAGGCAGACAGAGGTTAAGTGATTTGTTCACGGTCTCATACAAGTATCTAAGGATTTGAAGTCATACATTGCTCATGAGAAGTCCAGAACTTTTCTTCTTACTCTTCCTGTGCCATCTAGCTACCTCACTGAAAGGTCCAGAAGGATCTATTTTTTTGAGACCTAGACCGACTCCCTTGTGAAGATGAATGACAGCTATCTAAAATGTAGAATACCGGGGCCAAGTGTCAAACTCCATAAATGCTATTCCTAATAATGACTGAGTGCAGGGCCTGGAGTCAGGAAGACCTGAGTTCAAATGTGGCCTCAGACACTTATGAGCTATGTGACCCTAGGCAAGTCACTTAACCTATTTGTCTCAGTTTTTTAGCTGTAAAATGGGGATAACAGCACCTATCTCCCAGGGTTGCTGTCTCAAATGAGACAGTTGTGAAGTGCTTAGCACAATGCCTGGCACATAGTAGATGCTATGTAAATGCTTATTCCTTTATTTTCTTCTTCCCAATAAGTCAGGGGCAGGACTTTGGGACTCAGCCAAAAAAAATTCTGTGCCTCAGTTTCTTCATCTGCACAGATAATAAATCTTGATTACCGAGGAGTTGTGAAGAATGTGAAATTAGTCTGTCATAAAATATTAAACAATAATTTTTAAAAACCCCTCTACCTTAGTGCCTATTCACATGCTTTTAAGAATGTGAATTCTTCAGAGGCCTATGAAATAAATATATTTATGATTGTTATTTCCTGGAAAATTGCCATTTCATTCAAATCACTACCACTTCAATTCTAGCCTAATAGAATTCACAGACATTGTGCTCAGCAAATGGCTATAAACCCTACTGGGCACTATTATCATAGCCAATTAAAACCTTAAGTCATATGAAAGTTCATGGCTAACATGGTCACATTCTGCCCCAAAACTGAACTCATGACCACCCAAAGTGTAAAACCTAAGGCTCTGTTACTGTAGCTTTGCCTTATTTCCTTTCTGGGGCCATTCTTGCCTCCAACATCATTATGCTTTTTGTTGGCACCTCCCTGATGTGCATATTATGTCCCATCTTGTATGAAAGTTATTGGCATATACATTTGTTGTATCTCTATTAGATATGTCCTCCTTCAGGAAGACAGGACCTATGTTACTACCTTTGAATCTGTTCTAAAATCCAGCACATTTCTCTGCTGTCCCTTCTTTATTTTGGTCTGGACTTATGACTTCATTGGTGTTGGCGATCTCTGTTTTGAAAGATTTTTCTGCAATGTATAGTCTTACAGCAGGGTTTCTTAACATTTTTTGGTGTCACAGACCCCTTTGGTAATCTAGGGAAGCCTATAGGCACCTTCTCTGAATAATGTTTTCAAATGCCGAAGATAAAATACATAGGGGACTGCAGAAAAAACCAAGAATGTTGAAATTGTCATTAAATATTAAAAAAAAAAGTTCAAGGACCCCAGGTTAAGCATTTTGGTTAAAGTTGGGAGGGGTACACTGAGGGGTTAAAGGCTTTGACTGAGGGGTTAAATGCCTTGTCTGGGGTCACACAGCCAGCAGGTATCAGGGACCAAACTTCAGCCCTGGGTTTTCCTGACTCCAATTCATATTCAATACCCATTGAGGTTTCAAACTCAAAAAGAAATGGGGGGCCCCTAAACCATTCTTAAAGATCACCATGGCCTGCATACTGACTTAGATAATCACACATGAACATTATGTCGGCACTGGGGAGTGTTGCTGGCCAATGCAGGCTGCATTTTTGATACCTCTGTAATTCGGCATGCTGCCTCTGGAGGTGCTTAATAAATTTTTATTACGTTAAGTTGAGAATCAATAACAACATGCTGTAACATTAATAACACCATGAGTGAAACAAAGTCTCTATTCTTCACAAGGAAAGGAGTGAATATAGCTAGTTTCTGCAGGAGCTTTAAGAAGCTTTGCTGGAGCTATAGAGAAAACAGAAAGATTATTTTGGAAGGCATTAATTTGAAAGAGATAAGGCCATAGGCTATCTTTGTTGGGCCGAGGGGACTGTTGGTCTTTATTGTACAAGGAGAGAGGCCTTTCAGCCTTCTTTCTATCAGGAAGCTGGTGGTTTTGTTACATAGCATGGAGAAGACAAGGCAGCTTGGCACACCAGCCCTTAAATTTCTGAAGAGGCATAAATGATTTCAGGTGGAAGCACCATTGCTAAATCTCCCCAAGACACTGAAATTGCAGGGGTAGGTAGATTAATCAAGTTGGAAGGTGAAAAAAAAGTGGTAAGCCAGGCTGTTTTTGCTGTTCCATTCAATTAAAAAATAAATCGATCTGCCGTACGAATGACATAGTTTTCATATAATAACTATGCTCTCCTGTGGTTAACTTGTCTTTTGAAAAATGAAGTGGGCAAAAAAGGGTAATTTTCTTCAAGGCTTGTACATTCAGGAGCTGGGGAAATTATGGAAATAGAAAACATGTTCTGAGGAAACCTGGGTGTTCCACTCTAGTTGTCTCTTCTTAAAATGGTGTCAGACTCTAACAGAGGAGACAGGGCAATCATTTAGAAATCCAGTACAGACTCTTTAGGGAACAAAGAAAATAATCATTATACATGGTATATACTGTACTCCCACATGCAGGGCTTGGGGTATAGAACTTTATCTTCTCCAATCTAGGAATGATCCTATATTGAAGAATAGATCTGTCCTGTAGGGGAAAAAGGTCTATTGAAATGTTGCAAGTATTAGCTAGAACTCTTATGTAGCTCCACTTATAGCAGATGATTTTTAGAAGCATGCATGTGTGTGTGTGTGTGCATGCAGTGGAGGGAGGAGGGTGCATGCATGTATGGAGCCTCTGTCCTCCATCCTCAGGCTTGACTCACTCCCAAAATGGCCTTGAAACAATACTGACTTCCTGTACAGTCCTATATGGTTTGACAGGGTATGGGTGCCTGAGATATCTTTGAAAGAGATTGAAAAGAGAACCCAATTTCAAAGCTGGCATTTGGGGAAAACCCCAGGCAAAGTCTTAAGAAACCTAGGACTGAACCACAAAAACACTTGTCTTCCTTCATTCTGCACTACTAGTTACCTAGTTTAGGATAATAAGGGTTGTAAGTCTTACACTGAAGTGAATGCCATGGGTCAGAAAGCCCCAGAGAGCCTAGGGAATGCTCTCCTAGCCACCAAAGGCAAAGGGAAACAGGGAGAAATCCAGTCCAGAGTGTCCCTGATCTGGAGCCTTCCCCACCCCCACCATAAGACTCATTAGTATTCAAAGCCATTCTGGATCTTGGAAATTGGCTCTAGGGTAGCATGTTTTGGTCCTAGGATCCTGTCTTCCACCCCTTGCCCTGATCCCACCAGGTGTGTCCTGGATTTAGACCGTTTTCCCAGAGGATGGGCAGGGAAAGAAGGATCTAGGGCTGAGACAGCTGCTCCCCTTTCCCCTAACCTTTCAAACCAAGCTCTCCCCATTCTGGACCTGGAGCTTTGGATCTGAATTAAAATTAGGAGAGCTTCTAAAAGGTGGAGGGAGCAGAGTGGGCAGGATCCCATTTGTGTGTGTGTGTGTGGTGAGGGGGGTGTTTTCCCCATGGCATTCAACACTGTGTGGGACACAGATGAGAGCCCAGTCAGTGACTCTGGAGTAGCTCCTCCCAACAGATGGGCTGTGAAAACACCTCCCTCTCCAACCAGAGCTCATATGAATAATAGAAATCCTCAGGGAGTTCCAGCTTCTGCCCCAGGACACTCAGCAAACAGTTATCCACAGGTGCAAACTCTGAGTCCTGGGGTCTGTCATAGCGCCGGCTGTTAAAGGCCTCAATGTTGGCCCTTAAAGTGCACTCTTCTGCTTGGAAGTCCCATGGCCTGGCATCAATGTCTGCATGGGGAAGAGGGAGAAGGATGATAACAGAAGCATACGTATCATTGGGGTTACACCCTTCTGATCCAGCCACAAGGAGTGAATGAATGAAAAAGTTTTAAGTACTTACTATGTTTCAGGTCCTGTGCTAAGGACACAAGTACAAAAAGAGAGACAGTGCCTGCCCTCAAGTTGCTTACATTCCAATAGGAAAGTCAACATATATCCAGGACTGGTGGCCAAAGAAGGGAGTTTTGGTCTTAGGGAACCACAAAGAAGTCACTGGTGAGTTGACATAAAGGGTGGTCAGCTTTCAGTAGTTTTCGGCCCTCCACAAACTTCTTTGGAAGTAGAAGTGGGAAATTTCAACTTCTGATAGATAGGAGGGAACATGGGGCACTGTGGCTTGAATCTGAGGGAAGTTACTGCTAGGAAGACCTGCCTCCAAGCACATTTCTCTGGAATTTCTTCAAAATCTACTTAATGGGGGTAGTCTCTTAGTGCCTGCTGGAAATCCCACAATTCTGAAACAAGGACAAATGTTTGTTTCACTTGTACTTATAGAATGCTTTAAGATTCACAAAGCATTTTCCCTCACAATAACCTCAGGAGATAGCTAGTGCAAATGAGACCATTCCCATTTTTACAGATGAAGAAACTGAGGCTCTGAAAGGTATAGATACTCCCAGGTATACTACCTAGGTGGGAGTGGGAATAGACAAAGCTCTTAAAGTTTATAACTGCAGGTACAGCTAGATGGCCCAGTGGATAGAGCACAGGCCCTGAAGTCAGGAGAATCTGAGTTCAAATCTGGCCTCAGACCAAACACTTGACACTTACTGGCTGTGTGACCCTGGGCAAGTCACTTAACTCCAACTGCCTAAAAATTTAAAAAAAAATTTTTTAAAGTTTATAACTTTTGGGACACCCTCCTCAATAAAACTGTTCATCCCTTTTGGTCCCCTACATTCTACTTGGCTTTTTACCTCAGGGCTAGAGGTTAGAAGCCTTAAGGATTCTCCTCAGAGCTGCTTAAGCTATGCTATTTTTTTTTCATTTTTTAATTTGTGTCCTTTATGCCTCATTAATTGATTCATTGAGAAGCAAGGGGGTGGAGGTAGACTAGGAAGAACACTAGACTTGGAGTTTGAGCCTCAGTTCTGACACTTAGTTGTGTGATACTGAGTCTCAGTTTCTTCCTCTGTAAAATGGGGATCATAACACCTCCACACTAATCTGTCTCTCAGAAAAAAACTATAAGCAAAGTATTTGCAAGTTCTATGGCCTTATAAGAATGGAGTCTGCTGCATTATTCATTATGAGGAAGCAGAATTTGGATTGAGGCTGAGGAGGCAGGACAGCAACAAAGTGTCAAAGTAAATAAACGTCAGACATGTGTGACGGATGTCGCCAATTGTTGAACGAGTTATTCACCTAACTAAAAACATCCCAAGAATTTAAGTTGCTAATTATGGCTTATGGTCCCCGGTAGAAGAGTTCTGGTGATGCCTGGAGCAGCCCTGTGATAGTCATCCTTGTTTTCTGAACTCATCCAAAGTTGGAACTTGTTATAAATGCCAACAAGCACATGCCACCCTGCCAGTAAGCCTTTATTAGAGCTACATAAACATAGGGCAAACCTCTCTTTGTGTACCCTGAAAAACTCGCTGTATAATTAAGATTCCTAGCCAGCAGACCCTTCATTTTGGTCTACGCAGGCCAACCTTACTTTATGAAAGGGAGAAAACTGGACAGATTGAATTCTATTTTAAGGGAACTTCAAGCCCTTGAAAATGGAAAGAGCCCTGGGCTTGGAGGCAAGAAGGCCTGGCGTCAATTTCCAGCTCTGCCACTTGAAGAATTTCAGCATGTGATTTTGCCTGAATTGAAGTTTCTACCTCTGCCAGGAGGCACAGTGGATAAAGTGCTGCACCCAGGAGTCAGGAAGAGCTGAGTTCAAATCCTGTCTCACACACTTAAGGGCAGTATGACCCTGGACAAGTCATTCCATCTCTTCAGGCTATTTCCTATCTGCAAAATGGGGATAAAATAGCAGCTACCCTGCTGTCTCCATTAAGGAGCCACCCCCTTCCCAAAGCTGGGGTCTCCCTTAAGCTTTGGCCTCCCTCCTTTAAGTGGGTGGCAGATTACCTCCCTTAACGAGAAGCCTGCTTGGTGTGTTACCTGGAATAAATGCCTTTACTTGAAAAAAAAAAAACAGCAGCTACCTAACAGGGTTGTTGGAAGGATCAAATCTATCTCATATCTATCTCATAGGTGCTTTGCAAAACTTAAACTGCTATACCAATACTAGTTATCCTCATCCTCTTCATCCTCATCTACAAAATGAAGGATCTGGAGTAGATAGCCTCCACGGCCCCTTTTGAACATTTTGTGATTCTGTGAGTCCTACAGTCAGTCTTTTGGAGAATGTGAATCATCATTCTCTAATTTCTCTCCTTTATGAAAATGCAGGTTTATATACTCTGTCTGCTTAAGGGAGAGCTTACTTAGATTTAATAGACTCATCAAATATTAAGAGATTTTAAAAAAAAAGATTCCTAGGATTCATCTCGTCCAACGTCCTCATTTAACAGGCTTCAAGGCCAGTTTGGATTGCAGAAATCTGCTCCAGAGTTGTTTGTTTTGGTCCAGGGTCTCTAAGTGACACCCCTTGCTTGGCCTGACCCCACCATATCTGCCCTGGAATTACACCATCTCAGAGTTAAACTGCGTGGACTATTTTTCACTTTCATTTGTCCTTTCACAGATGTAGAAAAGGAGGCCTAGAGTAGCCAAGTGGCCAACCCAAGGTCAAATGGCCAACTAAGAGCAGAATTAAGGTTCTCTAACATCCAGGGCAATGCTCTTTCTCCGGGAGCATTAAGCCTCTCAGGACATAAATGTCAGAACTCATGTAGTCCCATGGAAGTTACTGCAAAGGGATTCAACCTATGGTGGTTTCTATCCTCACCCAGAGCATGCAATAACACTTCTCCAGTGCAAAGGCAAAAATGGCAGTTTCAGTTATTTTACTACCCATGAGAGGAGGGTAAATGGAGGCCAACCCTCAGACTACTCACCATTGCCATAAGCCCAGTCATCATTCATGCGGTGCCTCACTTTCTGATAGATGGCTGACATGGTTTTCATGTTGCTTTTCCTCCACTGACGCCCCAAGTACTTGGTCTGGATCTTCAGCAGCTTTAATACGTACAGCTGCAACATGGCCTGCTTAACCTTGAGTGCCCGCTTGAGGATAGGGGCAGATTTAAACACCACCAACATCTGCCCAGTAGAAGAAGAAAGAAGAAGGAAAAGTTTGTGATGCTTGTTCATGCTCTTCGTGATTCCTCACCCTCAGATGGCCCAGCCCATGCTCAGATAAACAGGCTACCTCAGAACTTCTCTTTAGTAACACAAAGGAAAACTTTCTCAGTCAACCCCTCTCCTCTAAGCACTGGGCAGAAACTACAAAGTCTTAACCAGACAGATGTATCTGTGGGCAGGTACCTGTGTTAGTCCCCTTTTCTTGGCCCACCATAGCACTGGCTTCTTCTTACCTTGGATGAGGAATGACATTACATTTTATAATTCGGTTTCTAATACATCAAGGGCCTAGTGCCAGTTAACACTGCCAATGTTGCAGGCAGCCAAGAGAAACACTTTGCCCTTCAGAGAGGCTGCCCACAGGTGCATTTGTCTTGTAAACACCTTGTAGCTCCAGACTAGTGCTACGCGCACACACACACACACACACACACACACACACACACACACATATGCAGGCAATAGGTATTAGCCTCTTATTAACACTTTCTAGTTTGGGCTCTGATGAAAGGAATGTCTGCTTATACAGCAGGCACTAAAATCTTTACTAAACATATTGTAATTTAGGCCTTAAGGGAGGGATTTTCTCCCCTGTCACAAATATATCTGGCATTTTCTCACTTCAATTACATCATAGACTAAATCTTACAAAGCTCTAAGTGAACATCTATCTGAAGATTCTCATTCTGCAAATGGAGAAACTGAGGTCTTGAGAAGTGACTTGCCCCAATGTCACATATCAAGTTCATGGCAGAGTTGAGACTTGAACTTGGAAGTCTCCTCAGTCCAGGGTTCTTGAGAGGACTTCTAACATATACATCTTCCACAAACGGGGCACAGCCTCATCGCATTACTGGACATCAAGTATCTGTCACTGATTCCTTTTGCCACTTAAAGTAAGAAAGGGGTCTGCCTGCCAGCTCACATTTCACCACATGGCCTCACTGTCAGATAAAAGAAGGCATCTCCGAAGCACTACCATGAAGAGTGGGCGCCATTATAAATGGCCTGTTTGGGGATACAGTTCAAAAATAGCCCATTGAAACAGGTAGCTGTCTGTGGTTAGGAAGAACCTGTTCTTTCTAAACCTCCTGGGTGTTAATCCAAATGGGCACTAGTGGATCACTAGTGGGTTATGTCCTAAACAATAGGATGGAAATTTAGCCACACCATTCTTTTTTTAGTGTGTCTATTCTTCCAGAGGTTCAGGTTTCAAAAGGTTCAGGTAATTTAGAAACAAGAGACCTAGGTTCAAATCCTACCCACCTCTGATACTCAGGAAGTTGGTGTGTGACCATGAGCAAATCACTTGACTACTCTTAGCTTCAGTTTTCTCATATATAAAATGGGGGGAGGGCAGGGAAGGGACAGGCTGATAGTATCTGTAGCACTTACCTCACAGGTAAGGATCAAATTAATCAACCAATAAGAATTTATTAAGCACCTACTATGTGCAAGCACTCTGCTGGATACTAGGGATACAAGGACACAAATAAAAGTCTCTTGCCATGAGGAACTTAACATTCTATGAAACAAGATAGGCTATGCAACAGCCTTTGCAAATCTTAAGGCATTATATAATTTTCAGCAATCACTAATATTATTATTTGCTATTAGCTTTAACATTTACTAGCCTATATGATCATGAGTAAATCTCTGACAAGTGATTTTCTTGTCTGTATAATGGTGGTAACATCAGTGTTAAAAGCAAACAACACAAAGACATATAACACAGGTCCTCTTAATATAAAGCCATAGCTTTGGTTTTTAATTAGAACCTGTATGACATTGGACCAATCACATAATTTCTCTGAGACTCAGTTTTCTCACCTAGAAAAATGAGAGATAGACTACATGACCTTTAAGATTCCTTCCAACTCCAAATGATTTTATGATCCCAGGAGAACTGAATCCTAGCATCCCTCTTTACATAAAGTGGATTTCTAATAAATATTCATTGAATTAATAGAATAATAATTAATATTCTTCTGACAGTTAGTCCTACTGGCTCAGCTTTCAATGTTAGCATATACCCCAGGGGTTGATAAGGAGGGACCATTTCTGGCACATTTGCATCTAAATTACCTTGGGCAGCAATCCAAGAAAGGCCACCATAGTGCTAAATTCCATGTTCTGTGGAGCAGGTTGTGGTACAATGAATCTTTTTGAACCCATCAGCCCACCAGAATTTTTACTCATGAAATTTTCAGCAGCCCAACCCACAATTAATACCAGCACAGTGATGTAGTAGCTGAAGATAATGGAACAGTCAGAAGACATTCAATGGTATCGCCATCTTTCCAGCTTTTTGTTTGTTTATAGCATAGGAATATCCCCCAACAGCACCTCCTCCTCTGTCCTCCCAGCAACAATATCGAGTGTGTGCTTTAAACTGGAAGAGCAAACTTTCCTACCAAAAGCCTATCTGAGAAAAGGTCAGCACTTCCCGACCCTCTGGACATCTACTTGGACAGAAGAAGGTTCATGGAATCACAGATTTAGAGCTGGAAGAGACCTTCCAGGTGACCTAATAGAGCCTTCTGATTTTACAGGGTAGGATCCTGAGGCCCAGAGCAGTAACATAAACTGTACAAGGTAGGGAGCAGCAGAGCTAGGATTCAAACCCAGATCCTCTGAGTCCAAATCCACTGTGTGTACTGTGCCATCAAGAAATGAGAATAAGAGCTGGGAGGGACCTTAGGGGTCATCTTGTCCAACCCCTTCATTTTCTTTTTCAGTTGTTTAGTCATTTTCAGTTGCGTCTGACTCTCCATGACCCCATCTGAGGTTTTCTTGACAACGATACTGGAGTGGTTTGCCACTTCCTTCTCCAGCTCATTTTACAGATGAAGAAACTGAGGCAAACAGAGTCAAGTGACTTGCCCAGGCTCACACAGCTAGTAAGTCTCTGAGGCTAGATTTGAACTCAGGAAGATGAGTCTTTCTGACTCTAGGCCCAGCACTCTATCTACTATGTCATTTAGTTGCCCAGTAAGCAATTAATGTTTATTGAGGAGGTTGAGGAGGAAGAGGAAGAGGAGGAGAGGCAGTGCAGCATGGGAGAAAGAACACAATGGCCTTTGAGTCAGGAGAAGCCTATGTTTGAATTACGACTTGGATTCTTACTGGCTCTTTGATACTGGGTAAGTCACTTTGCCTCAGTTTCCTCAGGATGAAAACACCTGCTTCACAGGTATTTGAAATGATATAGATGCCCTTTACAAATATTAAAGTCCTACGTTAATATCAGTTTTTGTTTGGTGTCATTGTTACGGCTACTATCTTGTTTTTTAAAATGGGCTTCAGAGATAGAGTCTGAGGACAAATACCCATGCTGCTATTATCTTGTTATTTTTGTATTGTTATTATCTCATCCTTCTGCCCTTCATTATTGCTGTCATTATCATCATTACTATAACAGAGCTCTTCAATGGGGCAGACTTCTCCTGTCCTGGAATTGACCCCAGCTCACCATGGTCCTGGAATGTTTCCACTTGGTCAGTTTGTTAAGCAGCCTGAGTAAATTGATACAGGAAAATAGGTTCCTCCAGCAGAACTGATTGTTGTCTCCAGCTTCCTAGAACAAAAGAAGAAATACAAAGTACACACGGATAGATCATCACTGCAGCAGCCCCAGAGCTATCTTTTCCAGCTCCATAATTAGTACTATAATTTGTTGTTGTTCAGTCACTTTCAGTCATGTCCGATTCTTCATGACCCCATTTGGAGTTTTCTTGGAAAAGATACTGGAGCAGTTTGCCATTTCCTTCTCCAGCTCATTTTGCAGATGAGGAAACTGAGGCAAATAGAGTCAGGTGACTTGCCCAGGGTCACACAGATAGTAAGTCTCTGAGACCAGACTGGAACTCAGGAAGATGAGTCTTCTTGACTCCAGGTCCCAACACTGTATCCTCTGGACCACCTAGCTTACTCTTTAAGTAGCAACGGTAGAAGTGGTTCCTTTTCAGGCAGAGATGGCCAGTCTGGAAAGAAGCTCTCAGCTTAGGAGGTGTCCCTGTTCTGCTCAATGACTCACAAATGTAACAGCATACAATTTACATCCAATACCATGTTGGCCCCAGGCATTCCATGTCTACAGGGGCATTAGCCAGAAAGACAATGGAGGCAGAAGAAATTACTGAGCTGATGTTTGAGCGTTTCCTTTTGTGACTTTTTGCTTGGGGACCAGAAAAGAGAAGATGACATCCCTATATAACACTACTTATCTATGCAATGTTTGCAACTTTATAAAACAAAAAAAGTTAGTCTCTTTCTGAAACTTTTTTTCATCTACCCTCTGCTGGAGTCCTTGGTGTTAGATTGATTTAATATTCAGGAAACTTGAGCCCTTCAGCACCTCATCTCATCTACCCACACTCTGGTAGACTGCCCCGTTCCCAAGCAGGAGAGAGAGGAGGAAAAAATGGCAGATGGTCCATTCTCACCAGATGGTTCGTTTCCCTTCTAGGCTTCATGTCTGTCTGTGAGCCTCCAACCAATGATAACTGGTGGATTTCGGATTAGAAACAGGTATCTACTCTTAGAAACATTTTACAGTGACAGAATAAAATACGGCTTATGTGATTTTAGAACTGCAGAGGTATATTAATCACCATTATCATGATCCCTCATGTTTACGTAGGATTTTTCAGGTTATAAAGTACTTTCCTATCCATTATCTCATTCCGATTAATGGCTTTGGTGGGATGGGTTGTCATAGGATTATGGGATTTAAAGGTTGGATGGACCTTAGAGACCAATTGCCCAACCCTCTCCCTTTACAGATGAGTCTCGGAGATGAAGTGACTGGCCCAAGGTCAGTGAGTAACACTAATGAGTAGCAAAGCCAAGATTCAAACGCAAGTCCTCTCACCCCAGCTCCAGCACTTATTCCAAAAACATCATTAAACCACTGGCAGACCTGATGACCGTGTTAACTTAGGGTTTATAGACTCAATAGATATCAAGTTGGAGTATACTTCAGAGACTGTCAGATTTAACATCATATTGTTACAGGTAAAGAAACTGAGGCCCAGAGAAGTTAAGTTATTTGTCCAGGGTAATATAGCCAGTAAGCCTCTAAGAAAGGATTTGAACTGAAGTCTTCCTGACTACAAGACCAACGCTCTATGTACCACCATGATGTTCTAAAGGTCTTTCTTTTTTTTCTGGGTAATTTAATTATTTGATTAATAATGCCAGCATTTTAATAAAGGATGGTCATTTGGCCTTCTCTTTCTTTTTTTTTAATTTTTTTCCACTTAATAGTATTTTATTTTTTCCAATTACATGTAAAGATAGTTTTCAACATTCACCTTATAAGATTTTGAGTTCCAATTTTTTTCTCCCAACCTCCTTTCTATCCCCTCTCCCCAAGATAGCAAGCAATCTGATATAGATTACACATGTACAATCACATTAAAACATATTTCCACATTAGTCATGTTGTGAAAGAAGAATCAGAACAAAAGGGAAAAACTACAGAAAGAAAAAAACAAAAAAGTAAAAACAGTATGCTTGATCTGCATTCAGATTTCATAGTTCTTTCTCTGGATGTGGAGGGCATTTTCTATTGTGAGTCCTTAGGAATTGTCTTAATCATTGTATTGCTGAGAAGAGCTAAGTCTATCAAAGTTAGTCATTGCACAATGTGGCTGTTACTGTGTACAATGTTCTCCTGGTTCTGCTCAGTTTACTCAGCATCAGTACATATATATCTTTCCAGGTTTTTCCGAAGTCTGCCTGCTCATCATTTCTTACAGCCCAATAGTATTCCATTACATTCATGTACCACAACTTGTTCAGCCATTCCCCAATTGATGGGCATCCCCTCAATTTCCAATTCTTAGCCATCTAAAGGTCTTTCTTAAGAAAGGAAAAAGAAAGTAAAGACTGTGGAAAACATGTACTGGTGCATGCTAGTATCTAGTGAGCCAAGTAATAAGGGTATAACTGCTGTGGCATGAATAGCTAAGATTCATCCAGGTGTAAGGTAAACTTGTGGGGTCAGAAAGCTGAAAAGACAGAGGGTGGCACACTGGAGCTCAGAGGCACCCATGTTTCCCTGCCCTGTGATAAACTGGCCTTTGTGCCTCTTTGTGCCTCTGAGAGCAGTTTTGGCTCCTTTCCATGGGAATTTCTACTCCATGGCAAAGGCCAGTCTGGCACTATTTGCCTCAAATAAGTCAGGTTGTAATAATAATAATAAGAAGAAGAAGAATAGGCATTTATATTGCAATTTAAGGTTTGCAAAGTACTTTATGTATCTTGGTTCATTTGATCACTGTACAGATGTTAGGTAGAAGATCAAAGGAGATCATCAACCAGGTAGGTACTTTCTAAACCTTGAAGTACTATTTCAGTTATTCTGCTATTATTATTAAATTATAATTGTGTTATTTTTTTGTAATCAGTGGAGGAGGCATTTTACCTATTTATTTTTTTAAAAGATGAATCCAGGGGGAAAGTACGTGGCGCAGTGGATAGAGCACCAGCCCTGTAATCAGGAGGACCTGAGTTCAAATGCGGCCTGAGACACATAACACTCACTAGCTGTGTGACTCTGGGCAAGTCGCTTAATCCCAATTGCCTCACCAAAAAAAAAAAAGAAAGAAGGAAAAAAAAAGATGAGTCCAAGCCCTCAGATGGGTTATCCTTCAACACACTTCATGGTCTCAATCAACGCTATAGCTATTAGGAGAATCTTCACAGAAAAGTCACTAGAACATTTATGCCTTTCACCTAGAAATCTCACTACTAGGCATATAGCCCAAGGAAGTCAAAGGTTTCATGTGCACCAAAATATTTATAGCAATACTTTTCGTGGTAGCAAAAAAGGCAGCTAGGTTGCACATGGATAGAACACTGATTCTAGAATCAGAAAGACTTCAGTTCCAATCCAGCCTCAGACACTTACTAGCTGCTGTGGGACCCTGGGCAAGTCACTTAACCTATTTGCCTCAGTTTCCTCAGTTATAAAATGGGAATGATAATAATAACACCTACCTCACAGGGTTGTTGTGTGAATCAAAAGAGATAATAAAAGTGCTTAGCACAGTGTCTGGTTCATACTAGGTGCTTAAAAAAAATTCATCCTTTGATGCTGCTAGGTGGCATAGTAGATAGAGCTCTGGCCTTAGAGTCAGGAGGACCTGAGTTGAAATCTGGCCTTAGACGCTTGAAACTTACTGTGTGACCCTAGGCAAGTCACTTAACCCCAACTGCCTCACACACACACACACACACACACACACACACACACACACACACACAAAATCCATCCGTCAAAAAAAAAACCGAACCCATCCCCTGGAAACAAATAAGGGAATTTATATAACAAATAACAGGGAATGAAGAAATTATGGACTACGAGTATTACAGTGGAGTATTATTGGGCTGAAAAAAAATGATGAGTATGAAGAATTCAGGGAAACATGGGAAGATTTATAAAACCAGAACTAGGAGAAAAATATTCCCAATGACTATAACAACAGAAATAAAAACCACACTAAAAGGCAACTGAACTCAATAATTGCAATAGCCAATGTTGATCTCAGAGAAGAGATGATAGGACTTCCCTAATCTCAACAGAGAGCTAGGCATCATGGGTTTGGAATGCTGTATACTCTCTTTATTGTGGTCACTGTATGGGGAGGTTTTGTTGTTGGCTTTTCATTTTTGGTGGTATTATTAAGGGAGGGTGGAGGGGTGGGAATATCTGGAAATGACTGGAAAAAAGAACAAAAGTTACCAAAGTTTAAAAAAGAGAGAAAACTCCTCATAACTCCCTTATTATCCAACATCTACAATAATAATAAATTAAGTTTTAAAAAATATGTAATAAAATATGTGGAAGCAATATGGTAGATGGCCAATACAATGATGAAATAATAATAACACTCATCATTAATAAATTTGTTATTAATAATGAGCAATAAAATTCATGTTTCTATGCCTCTTTAGGGTTTACAACCTCCTGAAGTTGGAGGACAAATATTGTTATCCTATTTTACAGAGGAGAAAATGAGGCACAGAGACATTAAGTAATTTGCCCAAGGTCATATAGCTTGGTGAATGGAATTACTCGCACTTGTCTTTTGATTCTAAACCCAGCACTTTTCCCACTGTAGCTGAACTGCAATAGACCAGGAATTAGGAGCATTGGCATCTGGTCTCAGTTCTACCACACAGTAGCTGGACTTCAAGTTCTTTTGTAAAATGAAGGAGTCAGGTGACATGACCTCTAAGGTCCCTTTCCAGTTCTAATGTTCTGTAATTTATAATTTATTCCATTCTTTCCATTCCTCCAGCTAGTCTAACAATGAACGCTCAAGAGAAGGAAGGCTGGCTCTGCTCATAGCCTGGCCTCAGGGGACCTGGGAAAAGGAGCCCCAAATTTCCTCCTTTTGATGATGGTCTTATCAGGCACAGACTATTCTATGCTTCCTTCCCAAAATTGTTTTCTCTGGAGACTGACTACAGACCAACCTTCCTTGTCTTGCTTCACAGTAAACTGCCTAAGACTCAAAATAATACAAGCTTGTGAATAGCCTTTCCTGGAAAGCTGAGAATTAAATC